AGAACTGTGATAGAGTGCACTAAATGATTCTTTTGCATTTTTTTTTATCCTTTGTGTGTGTGTGTGTGTGTGTGTGTGGACAGAACAATAAATCCTTACATTTGGTAGTTCTTTAAAAATTACTTTAGTCCAAACAATAATTAAGGATGAAGTCAGTGGGGAAGATCCTTTATTAAAGCATATGTGAATATAAACAAGACTGATTAAATAATCAACATTCAAGTTAAATATTTAAATAAAGAGAATTTAGTACATAAAATAAGATAAACTAGTCAAGACAGTCAAGTCTCTCAAAGTCATACAAAGTCACACAATCACACATTACATCTCTCTCTCTCTCTCTCTCTCTCCATCACATAAAAACCACAACTCTCAACTTTCAGTTACTTTTTGTGAAGATATTATAATATTTTGTCTCCGATCACTTCCACTTCAAAAGATTATGTAAACTGTTTAGCAGAAAATAATTAAACTTTTACTTTTATTGAGTTTGTGGCATCTGCTTGGTAAGTAATAACTGCTCACTTTATTTAAAGGGGTCATATGATGCGATTTCAATTTTTCCTTTCTCTTTGAAGTGTTACACGCTCTTGGTGCATAAAGAAGATCTGTAAAGTTGCAAAGACTAAAGTCTCAAATCCAAAGAGATATTCTTTATAAAAGTTAAGAGTTAACCACGCCTACCTAAAATTACACCAAATACACAAAATAATGTTCTTTTTAGCAACATCATATGACCCCTTTAAGTTTGCTCATTGTAAGCTACTATTCAAATACCTATTAGATTGTGTTTTATTAACGTCTACACCTACCCCAACCCAAAACCTACCCGTTACAATAATGTAAATATACAATAATTATCGTGTTAATAATTGTAGTGAGACACAAATGACGCAATATTGACGTGCGCATACCCAGTGGCCGTAGCTGTATCCCTTCTAGCCTTAACCGTACGCAGCAAAAACACTGCAAAACACAGTTACTGGTCACCATCTCCTGGAGAAATTATGTACACTGCAGAAATTAACCCTGAACAAAATAATAATAATAATAGTAGTAAAATCTTGCAGTTTGCAGGCCAGCATTCAATCTGACGTCTGAAGATAAAGAGAGATATTCATTAGAGTGAATGTGTGATTTCACAAAATCTATATTGCTAACAAATAAAATAAAATATTGATTTTAAAGAGACTTGAAGTACTCAGCACTGACAGTAACACTGAAGCTCCTCTGTAATGTTTTTTTTTTTTTATAAAGTCTTAAGACTTCAGTCTTGGTGTTGCTGATGGTGAGATCTCCAGTTTGAATATTGAGATGTAATCTGTTTGTAAATCTCACATCATCTTCCTTATACAATAGAATCACTTTCTCTCTGTTCGTTTTTACAATGGAAGTGTTTTGAGGTCCAAACGTCCACTCGATCACATAATCTCCAGGTATATCAGTGATGTGAATCTGTGACAGGATCTCCCTTCATCACTACCATTTTCTTCACCCCATCAAAACTAAAAACATCTGAAAAACAAACAGGAACAGTTAAAGAAAATGTTAGATTAATCAGACTCAGAATCAAAAAAGAACTGAGTGCTGACGGATGAGGTGTTACATATGCACATACAAGGAATGTTTCTTGGTAATTGAGCTATCAGTGCACACATACAAATAAAACTGTATAAAGACACAGGTTGCATCAGAATAAACATATTTACTGATCTAAAAAAAGTCTAAAAAAAAAAAAAAAGCTGTCACTGGGGCGATACCCTTTCAAAAAGTACACTTTTGTACCTTATTTACCCCTAAATGGTGCATATTTGTACCTAAATGGTATATTAGTATCTTTTAACCCCAGGGACAGCTTTTGTATAATTTTTCAGAGACAGTATTATTAATAATATGAATAAATAAGACGGAATTTACAAAGATAATGCACTAAACAGTAGGAATATTGCACTAGGAACGGCTTTCAGCTGTTCAAGAGGGAGATGGCCTATGGGAAAAAGCTGTTCCTCTGCCTAAATGTTCTAGTGCCTAGTCTTTTGAGTCTCCGGCCAGCAGTTCAAAGAGGTTATGGCCAGGGATTTTTAGATTCTCTAAAAAAAATACCAAAAGAATATTTCCCAAAAATTAGCTGTGTGATAAAGAAGTAATACTATTTTGAGTTTTATCAGTGGAATGCAACTCTAATAATTGAGTGTTGCAAACTTTCAATGCCACTGATCACAACATGAAGTGTTTGTTACTTTGGCAATGTGTTCTTCCTCTAGGGAGCACTTGGAGGCTCAGAAATAAGAATTCTATTGGGCCACATTCAAATATGAAAACTGGAGTGGGGAAATTTTTTTTTTGCGATAATTGCTGAAGCTTTTGTCACAGTATACGATATTATCACGATATTGAAACAAGTTGCAAAAAGTGTTGTCATAATACAACAGGTTTAATAACTTTTTTTTCTTACAACAAAAAGAACTGAACATTTAAATACAATAAAATTTATAAATTAAACAAGCGTTTCAAACATATTAACACTTTACAATAAGGTCTCATATTAGTTAACCTTAGCTCGGGTCCATTCAATTACAGTTAAACTTTGATTTTAATAATGTGTAATTTAATGTTGAAAATAAGATTATTAAATGCTTTGGAAGAATTTTTCATTAGCAGTTCATGTTAACTAATGAATTAACTAATACTAACTAATGGAGCCTTAATGTAAAGTGTGACTGAACAATAAAGAATCAAAACATTTTCAAACAATATCTAGGTCATGCTGTAGTCAGATTAAAATATAAAAAAAGTTTGAAAATAAATAGCCTATTAAGTCTTTAGTGTTTGGGTATTCAGTGCAGTGATGAACACCGCAGCGAACACAAACATCTGAATGGCTGTTTAAAACATAAATAAATAAAAAGTAGCATAGCTGCTTCCTTTATGGGCTACCGAAGTAAGGGCTGCATTTATGCTGTTCCTTTAGCGCCATCTGCTGTCAGAGAGAGAATGTGCACTTTCATTCAGTTTGTCTCCTTCATTCGTTCTACCATGCACTTCTCAGCAGAGTTTGTCGGGCCAAAAGCGAGCGTGTGTGCCAGGGCCAGTAGCGTTTCCACTGTCACTTCCAGGGGCTTCCTTTGGGCCAATGGCCAGGTTTTTTTTTTTTTGGTCCGGCGAATACCTTGGGCCAAAGCAGGCCAACTGGGTCTTGAGCAGGGTGACCATACATCCTTTTTTCCCAGGACATGCCCGCTTTTCGGACCTAAAAAACGCGTCCGGTCGGGATTTCTAAATCGCCCAAAACGTTCGGGATTCCGGTTTTGCTTTCTACAGTCGCCATTATGTGTGCATTCTTGTATTAAAGGTCACCTATTTTACACCTTTCTGGAGTTTTATTTTAAGTCTTGATGTCCTTAAGAATATATATTTGCGGTATAAGTACCAAAAACCATCTCAATATATTTTTACAGCTCCTCTCTCAGGAGCGCTGCAAAGAACAGGTCGATTTTGGCCTGTCTAATTAATATTCATGAGCCTCTCTTCTGATTGGCCTGTTGTTTTCTGAGTGACGCACAGCCAGGCCAACCACAGGTAACTAGGGTCATGTATGCTATCATGTATGGCTACCAGTAGCTGCTGCATAAAATTCAAGGCATTGATGTTTGCCTACAAAACCACCACTGTCCCATGGGTTGAATGTTTAAAATATTGCATAAATGACATTTGATTGAAATGATTGTACTGAAACAATTTGCATTCTGCCTATGATAAAATTGTGGTAGATGTTAAGTTTTGTGAAGCATGACCACTGGTAGGAAGCCTTTTAGCTGTGTTTAAAATCAATCTGCAAAACGGTGACTGTAAAATAGGCCCTATGTATTTTAGTTATGGAAATGACATATTTTGAGTTTCGATATGGGATTTGGTCATTGCACTACTTTGGGGGCTACTTTAACCCCCCTCAAACACAACAACCCACAATAATGTTTATTATCAGAATTTTTATTTATTAATTTATTTTTTGCTGTTGAGACAGATGAGATAGTGTCAGCGGATAACATATTTAGTTTTTAAAGGTAAGTAAAAGAGCAAATGAGCCACTCCTATTGATAAGACATGTTAAACATTTGGCCTGATCTTTCTTCATGCTTTGGGCAATTTAAGCGACTTACAATCCATCCACACTGTTCACTCTGGCACCATAAAATAGTCTCAGTTTTATCAAGTTTGATTGACTTTATTGTGTATTTGTACATAGATCTGTATAAGCACCGGATGAACATAAACGTTCACATGAATGGCATCCCAAAAACCCTTAAGATTACACTAAAACACCAATTTCAAGCATCCAAACCCTGCTGGTTTACAAGTGAAAGATTTTGGCATATGTTGATTTATTTTATATTTAACTGGAAAAAGTCATGAATGGTTCTGTAATTTGAACATTTCAGACTATGGTGTTTACAATTTTTCCTCTTGTTCAAATAGTCAAGCATAAGACAAAAAAAAAAAAAGCATGATTTATGTCAAAATATAAACATAAAACAAACAAATTAAACGCTGATTAGTATGTCATGCAAAGCAAGTTTATATTGTTACAATGATTATGAACTGTTGTTTGTCTTCATTTTTCATCCTGATTCACTTTATACTCACTGAAACCTGTTATAAAAACACAGAAAGAATCACAGTAAAAACAATAAACAATAAGAAAATAGCAATGAATAAATAATAGTTTTAATAATAATAAGTTCCCCTTATGTTCTTCTTCGCTACACTTACAATAGGGAAATCAGTCATCTGTTATCCTTTCAACAGTAATTAATTACACTTACATTAAAAACAGAAACTTTCTCAATTACAGTGTGTAGAAACAAATGAAAAAAATATCACCTTTGCCTTTTCATTTCTTTTAAATACTAAATAATTAAATTTTTAGCTCTTACTGTATGAGTTGAATGTACTTACACCTTTGCTTTCATTGTCTACCAATCTTGCAGCAAAAAACACAGTTACAGCCCAAACCACCAGACCAACACCAGCACCACATATCCCTGATGCAGCACCAGACTGAGGTGGAGCTGTAACGATAAAGAGAAACAGTCATTAATGAGAATGTGTCTGATCTATAACAAACACTAGAGACATCAGCACTATAAAAAATATAACAAAAAAGGCATAGCTTTTGCAGAGTTCAAAGTTAACCAAGGCATGTTCATAATCAGAATTTCTGCAAAAAATATTTGATGTACTCACTCTTGACAGTAACTCTGATGGTCCTCTGTAAGGTGTATGCACTGTTGCTCATGTGTAGATGATAATCTCCAGAGTCTGTGGTTTTGGAGTCACTGATGGTGAGATCTCCTGTCTCACGATGAAGATGTAGTCTGCCACTGAATCTCAAATCATCTACGTCTCTAGGTCCAAAGAGATTGATGCCTTTATTGATTTCAGCCACAAGATTGCCTTCAGTCTTCCACAGTATCAGATCATATCCCCGTATTTCAATAACACCAGTATGCAGATTGACAGGATCTCTCTCCATCACTGATACTGTCTTCACACCACCTGTCACAGAAACAAACACATATGGAGAACATATAATTAAAAACATGAATAGTTATTTTTTAGAGATAAGTAAAGAACAGATGGCTCTTTGGGAAAAAAATAACCCTGACACTCTGTTATCAGACTCCAGAGGTGAAATGCACAAACAAAATGAGCATGTTTGTTTCGAGTGGTCATTGGCTACTGAATTTTGATGGGTAATGGCACACAATTTTATAATTTGACCAAATGACATTTAAAAAAAAAATCATGTGACTATTTGATATGAATGCACTGGTTTAAATGTGATCATTGCCATTGGCTGTGATATAGTCTCAACCTCAGGCTGGACGTCCATGGATTAACCATCTGATGCACATTGCACACACAATTTTGAAAGCACTTTCTTGATTGAGAAAGCTCTAATATGATTGGCTGGTTTTATTTGCCTGGAAACAAAGTTGTGTTTACAAGGCAACAAGTGCTGTTGAGAATGAAATAATCACAGGATTTGCAGGGTTAGTGTCATCACATCTTTTAAATATATTAAGAGTTTTGTTTGAGATGGCTTTTCAATCAAATCCACTCATGTGTGGTAATACATCCCGGGGACTTTCTCTGGAAGTATGTTGCAAAATCAAGCAGATCTACCCTGTTTAGACAGGTTCACGACACAAATGATCTCTGTCAAACTCAAAGTTTATGACAGCTCATAGCATAAGTTATTATGGCAATGGACACCTGCATCATCTGCTATCTCTAAGACGTCAGACCTCATCCTGTCAAATGTTATATAGACGTTTTAAAAAATATCTTTAAGATGTTTATGATTTCAAAATATGATAGAATTTATAGAATCTACTCACCACCAACAGCAATATAGAATTTTCTGTGCAAGACCATGCTGATGGTGTTGATCTCCACTTTATAAACTCCAGTCTGATCGCTTCGGATGTTGCTGATGACGAGGTCTCGGGTCTGATCGTTCAGATGAATGTTTCTCCATTTTGCATCATCAGGGCCGTTTAATCCGTTAACTTGCTTGAGACCATGGCTGGGTCCGATGTTTGTTAGTTTACATTTACTACATGATTTTACCATCAAAATTGTAATTAATATTTACAGATAATACATCAAGTTAAAGTTTAAAGGCTTGAGCACCATTATTTCTGATTGTAATGTCGTAGAGGTGACATAATTTTCATTCATAGCAAGAGTTCTCAACAATACACGCAACATCGAAACGGGGAGTTCTGAACAATTTCTGTCCAGTAAAGATGACAGATAGTTTATATTATACAAACATCTGCACCGCTTTAACCGTAACAATGCAGAGAATAAAATAAATTGGGACTTTTTAGTCCAAAAGTGCTAGATTAAGAGGAATATCAATAAATTCTGCTTCGTTTACGTAACAACAGCTTGAGACAGAATTATAATCCTCGTCAGTTTTCTAGTAAATTCTAGTAAACTTTAAAGTTGTGAAAGTAGTACAATTATATATTAGGCCTATGTTTTCTAGAGTCTTATGTAAAGAATAACCCCGCCCCCCAGCGTTCTCGGCACAGTGCTGATTGGACAGTCATTCAGAACATTCTAACAGCACCACCAACTGTTGTGACATCCAAACCTGCACAACCTAATCTTCACCATATAGCTGAGAGAGCTACACGTGGTAGTGTGCTGTACCAATACAATGCTACATGTCTAATATGCCCATGTTGAATTTAGTTTTCTGCCGCAATCAAATGGCTACGCACATATAGAAGACCTACATCCTCTGTTCAACTATACCTTTTATAAACAGGCAAAGACTGGAGGGAAAAGTATATTGGTGGATGCACAATGCTGTATGAACAGTTGTAAATGTGTACCATCACTGTTTCTGTTAATAAATTGCTTCTTCAACATCTGTATTCAGTTGTAAATAGTGATGTATTGTGTTTTGTCCTCATATTTATGGTTTACTTTTATTAAGAAGGAATCTCATTTTTAGTGGTGCCCCTTCCAATTTCAATTATATCTTCTGCAGGCGTGTGGCTTTAATGTCACTGCTTTTGTAAATTACCCTGGCACAATTTCATATAGTTATTCCTAAATATCTCTTATTCTAAATTAATTGAGCAATACTTTACAAAATAGTTAAGCTGCTCTTACCGTTTTTCTAATGTAAGGTATTTAATTTTGAACCTTGAACATGAAACTGAGGAAAAGCATCTTTCTAAAGAGCCCATAGTTCTGTTTGTAGTCCAGAGGGTTCATGAACTGTGACTGTTTTAGTTTGTGTAGGTCATGTTTGTGTTTGAGCTCAACTAGTGGGGGCGACAGTTAAAAGGTTAAGCGAGCGATAATGATGACTTGATCGCCAAACTCCCACAGTATCTGATCATCTCCCTGTACTTTAACACCAGTGTGTAGAGTGACAGAATCTCCCTCCATCACTGACAGTGACTCCACAACATCTGTCTCAACAACAAACACATGAGGAGAACAGATAGAAGAAGTTAAAAATAAAGATTGAGTTTATAATCTGTAATTTCCACAAAATCACTCTTTGAATGAGGAGTCTAAATTCTGAGACTAAAAAGTTTAATAGACTTTCCTCCCATGAAGTTATTTTTCTGTTTTAAGAATACATTGAAAATTCAAATGCATTTCAGATTTAGCTCTTCAGATACAGACTCAATTTTCTAAACAATTGAAGTTGCTTTGGAACGATGTTGTGCAAAAAAGATGTAGAAATAAATTTGTATTAAGTTATAAAAGAAATCTTAGATATCTTATTTTGGATGTATTTCTAGTGTCACACTTAAAAGGTTAGTTCACCCAAAAATGAAAATTAGCTTGTGTTTTACTCAGACTCGAAGCATCCATAGGGGTATATGACTTTCTTCTTTCAGACGAATCCAGTCGGAGTTATATTAAAAATTGTCCTGGCTATTCCAAGCTCTATCATTGCAGTCAGCGGGTGTTGCAGTTGAACAGTCCACAAGTCGTCAATAAAGCGTGCGCATCCATAATAAAACGTGCCTCATACGGCTCCGGGGTGGGGGCGGGGTGAATAAAGGCCCCCTGTAGCGAATCCATGTGTTTTTGTAAGAAAAATATCCATATTTCAAACGTAATAAACACTTTTCTCTCATTTCCCCTGACTCATACACTGAAGCAGTTCCGGCGGATGGCGCAGCAACGTATGCGCAGCGCGCGCGCCTCTGAGATATGCTAGTCTCGCAAGTTTGTTTACAGGAGCAAAGGAAGCAAAGTTTCCTTACTTTAGCAAAGGAAAACCAGTATCTTCTTGGTTTATATCGAAATCCTCCGACATTTATTTTAACCGTCCAAAAAGTCGTCAATAAAGCGTGCGCATCCATAATAAAACGTGCCTCATACGGCTCCGGGGTGGGGGCGGGGTGAATAAAGGCCCCCTGTAGCGAATCCATGTGTTTTTGTAAGAAAAATATCCATATTTCAAACGTAATAAACACTTTTCTCTCATTTCCCCTGACTCATACACTGAAGCAGTTCCGGCGGATGGCGCAGCAACGTATGCGCAGCGCGCGCGCCTCTGAGATATGCTAGTCTCGCAAGTTTGTTTACAGGAGCAAAGGAAGCAAAGTTTCCTTACTTTACCAAAGGAAAACCAGTCTCTTCTTGGCTTATATCGAAATCCTCAGACATTCGTCTTTATGTTTTCTCTCCGCATTCGTCACTAATCACGCAACGCCGCGCATCTTACGTCATCCGCCGGAACGGCTTCAGTGTATGACAGTCAGTGGAAGTGAGAGAAAAGTGTTTATTACGTTTGAAATATGGATATTTTTCTTTAAAAAACTCATGGATTCACTACAGGAGGCCTTTATTCATCCCCCAGAGCCGTCTGCGGCAGGTTTTATTATGAATGCGCGCGCTATATTTGACGACTTGTGGACTGTTCAACTGCAACACCCTCTGACTGCAATGATAGAGCTTGGAATAGCCAGGACAATTTTTAATATAACTCCGACTGGATTCGTCTGAAAGAAGAAAGTCATATACACCTAGGACGCTTCGAGGGTAAGTAAAACACAGTCTAATTTTATTTTTTTGGGTGAACTAACCCTTTAAACCCAACACACCAATCTACTTTTCAAATGGATTTCAATATAGCCTCACATATGATTGTTAATTTGCAAAAAATAAAAGGCTTTTGATTTTTTAGAGAATGAACAAATCTCTCTAAAAGTATAGCCTCATGTGGTTAAAGAAAAATATGAAACAAATACAATAAGAATGAAACAATTGAAAAAACTAATTCAACACAAAATTTATTTTGAATCATTTTGAGACATCTGATTTGGTCATCAAGATCTTTGTTTTTTTCTTTTAAAGTTCATATAAAAATAACAAACCTAATAATAATAGCTTAACCCATAATGTTAAAACTTGTAATCATTCCACAGCATCTAAACTGTCCACAGGTGACTGACATGAGTTACTCACCATGGACAGTAACTTGGAATGTCTTCAGTTTTGCATCTATACTCTTGATGTCTACACTATAATGTCCAATGTGTTCAGTTCTGATGTTTGTGATGGTCAGAGATCCAGTCTGTCTGTCCAGCTTCAGTCTGTCTTTGAATATCGCACCGGGACCATCATATGTAGAGGGATTTCCATCTGCTTCATTCATTCTAGCTATGATTTCATCACCAAACTTCCATATTATCTTACTATCTCTCGGTACTTCAGTAATATCAGTGTTTAGAGTGAGAGAATCTCCCTCCATCACTGACACTGACACTTCATCTGCTTCAACACCAAACACACCTGCAGAACAAACAGAAACAGTTTTGTTAAATAACATTGTAGTATTGTAAACTTGTATAATACTGTAATATTTGTGCTGCAATTACAGCATATTAATGAAAGCAATTTCTCAGGAAATATATTGTTTGTGTACTGGGAAATTACAATATTATTATATTTGACAATATAGTTTCATGTGTTTGGGCAGTTCACTAAAGTAATCTTTTTCATTCACACTGCCTGATGTACAGTACAGATAGGATATTATGAGTTAGTCCCTGAACTTACTTTATTCTCCTTGAATGCTACATGTTCTTGTGCAATGCTAAATTAAATTGTGTGTCATAGTTTACAAAAATTCTTTGCAAATACCTATTTGCCATAAAACCAGTCATTCTACTGAGCTCAATCTGAGTCTCTTAATACACCAACTTTTCGGCAGCAGTCTAGAATATTTACAAAATGCAGTAGCTTTGTAAGTATTTCAATTTTTCACAATGTTGGTAATGCAAGTAAACAGATTTTTTGCATTGTGTGTCTTGAAAATTAAGCCAAATGTGTCTTGTAATTTCTAAAAAGCATGCAAATTATGTCTATTCTGATTCTTTGGATTTATGTTATTGGATGTTAAATGGCTCGACACAACTTAGCACACAAGCATGGATGATTCACATTGACACACAAAGACTGAACAAATGGCATAATGCATACATTTTATTTGCTGTTTTAATGTAAAGTATTTCCTATTTATTAAACTTTTTTGAATAAATATTGGGGGTTTGGAGTAACATGCCTATTCTGAACAAGTAAAACTTGCAAAAACAAGTAAAAACCCACCCAAGGTAGGCCTAATGTTAGAAGGACAGGCTGCAACAACAGCAGTCATCTAAATACGAGCTTGATGGTAGTTTATCATGGCAAATAGGCCTACTTTTTTAGACATATAGACCCTGAATGTGAGCAACAGTAACTCAACCGGACTAGAGTTCAGTAGAGAAACTGACCGACTGATTGAGAGAGTGGCTTATTTACGTTTTTTTCTGTTCTGTTTAAACAGTAGGACATGCGTTCGTGTTGCAGCCAGTTTTCATGTAAAATATTAACGCTCAGAATATTGCATGCCTTCAGCGCCCCCTAGTGTTCATCACTAAACACACACGCGCACAAACAACTAACCCTCAAAATCCCTTTACAATGTTGCTGTCGTCTATTATTATTCGCAGTGTGATTTATCATAATTTCTATTTATAGAAAAATGATTCATGTTTGTTTAAAAAAAACTGTAGATATAAAAATAAGACGATCAGTCTGTTTCCGATTTATACTGAAAACAAATAGCCTATAGTTAAATGAGTAAAACTTTGCTCACCGTTCACGAGTAATAAAACCCCAAAAAGGAAGGTATTATTCCTCATACTGATGTCGCGTCTGACCGCGTCTAAACTACAACAGCATTGATTCAGGACACTGATGATGGACTCGTAGCAAACCTTCCAAGTCACGTGGTTTCTTGAGAACGCGGGTGTGTTAGACCTGCTATTTCGAAATGTTCCAAAGTCGACCTTGGCTAGAATTATCAAAATTCTGAAATGCTTGTTTATTCGAGGCTTGTCATATTCTGCATATTCTTAGTCAGTAAAATAAATGTTGAAAATGTTGTTGAAACTGAACTTTAAAAAAAGTGATTGTGAAAATGTGTGATTATTATGAATAATTATTATGGTAATCCATTTTATTATAATATAAAAATATATTATATATTTATACATTTTATAGCAATAAAAGTGTCACAATAATCCAGTGCAGACATTCAGCGTAATTCTAAAATTAATTAATTCATGAATAAATTATTAATAATAATAATGTGACCAAAATAAAAAGGTTTTAAAAACGTTGCTTTAAGTATTAAAAACGTTAATATCACGCCTAATTACTATGAAAACAAAACCCGACGAAACTGTAACTTTTGAGAGATATTTTATAGTTTTTTAAAAATAGTTTTCTGAATTCAAAACGAAAATAAATAAATAACCATAAAAAAATACCGCGTGCCATCACATACAACCAAGAAAAACTCTTTGTCTGAGCTTTATTGTGTATGAAGGCCTTCTTACATGAATCTCATCCCCTCAAAACTTTACTTTGGAATAAAAAAAAGTTAATTTAGTTTGCACTGAATGCTTTTGAGACTCTAGCACAGGGGTGCCCAAACTCAGTCCTGGAGGGCCGGTGTCCTGAAGAGTTTAGCTCCAACCCTAATCAAACACACCTGAAGCAGCTAATCAAGGTCTTACTAGGCATACTAGAAACTTCCAGGCAGGTGTGTTGAGGCAAGCTCGAGCTAAACTCTGCAGGACCGAGTTTGGGCACCCGTGCTCTAGCAGCTCCTTCTCTGAGTCAAAGTGAAACCTGCTGTGGTCTGAGTTTAATTCACATCAGTTTAGTGGCAGAATGACCCAAATGAATGAGGTTTCTCTTGAGTGGACAAACTTCTCGCTCATGTTTACTGTTGCATGTGTGCAGAAGATTTATAGGTAGGCCTAGATTCTTTTCAAGACAGATTTCCACTCTACACACATATATACATTATAAAACAAAGCAGTGAATCCATAAACAGTCAGATTTGACAAAATGCATGCACTTAGTAGCTATGTCCTTAATGATATTTTTACAGCTGTGCGTCAGGGGTCGCTGTAAAATCAATATATCATATATCACGATTTCTGTGGAAGCAAGCTATAAACACGGATTACTGTTTTATGGTGTTATAAAAGGCTAGATAAAGGGATATAAAGCCAGATGCGAAACTGAGCTGCGACACCAGCTCTTGCTCTACTGACGCGTTCATTTACACAATCACGCGCAGTCGCGCACTTCACGGAAGCTCGCAGACTGAAAGAGTTGTTTGTTTCTTCTTTCTCTGATTGGCTGAAGAGTTTTTATCTGCTTGACTCGGCGCAAGCTATCTACACATAGTGTGTATGACAATGAAACATTGTTAAACGCGATTCTGTCGTGTTTCTTGAAATCGACCTCATTTTTTTCAGACATTAACGGATCAGCCACTGAACGGATCTCAAACGGTTGAAGAGAATGATTCACGGGCTTGTTTTCTTCTGTTTATTTTTTTCCCCTCTGATTGGTGAGTAATAAATATATTTATGGCCTTAGTGTTAGTAGCCTACAGATGAGCTAGGCTAATATTGTTTAAAACATTAAGGGTTTAAATTATTTAAATATTTAATATGACGTTTAGATTTACATTTAATTTGGACCTCTAGGCGCTGAGACAGATGAGGTCGTGTCAGCGATGGAGGGAGGTTCTTTCACTCTCCGTACTGGTTTTACTGAACGATCGGGCGATCATGAGATCGAGTGGCGCTTTGGCTCGAGCAGAACTTTGTTAATCAGAATAAAGGCAGGAAACATTATTACATCCAATGACACGAGTCACACGATATTCAGAGACAGACTGCTGCTCGAAAGACAGACTGGAGATCTCACCATCACAAACATCACTAATGAACACACTGGAGTTTATGAACTAAGTATCGATCTCGGACAGACAGAGTTGCAAAAAAAATTCATTGTCGCTGTTTATGGTGAGTAGCCTATTACAGATGCAACCAGTAGGCCTACTTAATTTTATATTTACGTAACGACCCTCTGTCAGTTGTAGGCTACTTATTCTTGGATTTATTTGTTTATTTACTCTCCAGCTCCTGTGCCTGTTCCTGTCATCACCAGATACTCTCCTCAGTGTTCATCATCATCATCATCATCATCAGGGTTTAAACGTGTGCTGCTGTGTTCAGTGGTGAATGTGAGTGATGTGACTCTCTCCTGGTACAAAGGAAACAGTTTATTGTCCAGCATCAGTGTGTCTGATCTCAGCATCAGTCTCTCTCTACCTCTGGAGGTGGAATATCAGGATAAAAACACCTACAGCTGTGTAGTGAACAATCCTGTCAGCACCCAGACCACACATCTGGACATCGATCAACTCTGTCAGACATGTTCAGGTAGAACTTTGGTGATATCAGCGTTTCTTCACAGTACCTTAAATACTAGTACCCGATACCTTAAAACAGTAAGAGTAGACATGTCAAAGTCTATTTGAAAGAGTTTGTTTAATGCCGTTTTTAAAGAAGTGCCTACTTCTTTCTACAGACTGTGACAATTGGAGTCAAAAGGAGCTGTGATCCGATTGGTTGCCTCTGCTGTGGTGGATGTGACACTTTATGATGCAGTGTTTCCTAACCTTTTTTCTGCCACGGCATAGAAGTAAAAAATCCCACAGCACACCACTAAGCACTAAAAAAAAAAAAAAAATAATAATAATTAAAAAAAAAGATAGAAAGGGGAAAGTTTTTTTCTTCAATAATTATCAATAAATATCATCAGAGTTGGTATTTTGGCTTTATATAGGATCAGACACTTGCACCATGCTTAAATGGAGTTAACAAGGTTTTTGAAGAGCGAATGACGAAGGTATTTAGCTTGTATGATCAAGAAAATTGGTAATAAAGTGTTTCATATGAAAGATGTGTTTTTGTAAATTGCATATTTGGTATATTTTGTGTTTGTTTTTCCACTGCCTGGCAAATTGTGGATGTTTGGAGATCAAAGTGCTCCCATAGCTCTCATAAAGGCCAGTCAAAGCTCATTATTTAATGATGCTGATGGGAGATTCATAGGCATATTACAGCTGGATCAGACTCGTTCCCTTACCATCATAAACACCAGAACCACAGACTCAGAACTTTATAAACTAATCACAATTGTTGGGAATAAGAAGACAAACAAGACATTCAATGTTAAGGTTTATGGTGTGTAACTACTAGCTGGTCATTAAACAGTCCGAAACAGCTTCCGAAATACTGGTGTCCATACACTTTATTTATTGATATGGAACACTGTGAAAACTAAACCGAAACAAAAAAAAACATAGTTTTACACACAACATTATAAATGACATCTAACACAAATAAAGGAATATACAAAACATTAACACTTTTACCGTTTTTGCCTGGTAACCAACAGTAGAATGGTCAGGAGCACTAACATGTTTATCTGAATTCACAGCTCGTCATTCAGTTTGCGCTAACACTTCCAGGTTAAGTTAATCAGGAAGGGTCATGTGACATTCAATTTAGTCAAACTGGGAGTACAATGAAAATAAAATACAATACCAACACAATTCTGAGGTTAGCACACATACACAGAAATACACATTTAAATTGTGAAGTCATGAAAACACAAAAAATAAACATTAACCCCTGAAATCACACATATATCATACATAACCCATAACTGACCTATCAGCGTCCGCTACAGGTGAGTATTACAGTGTTTTTTTCCCTGTCCTCATATTTACGTAATGTCTAAATGTCTTTTATTGGTCAATTACACCAATCACAAATAAGCAGGCACTAATCCATTACAGGGATAACAGTCCAGCAGCACAGTCTGAGTCATTCCCTCCTCCTCCCCCAGCTCCACTTGTCTAGACCTGCTTATGCGCAGGTACTTTCACGGATTTGCGAGAGACGCAGAATGAGCAGTGATGGTGTTTTGACAAGACTGTTCTACAGAACCAGAGGCTTGACACATGAGAATATATGCCAGTCTCGCTGCCAGCATCAAACTCAGAAAATAGGGCAGGGCAGGAACAAACATAATACTCACAATGAACAAGACAAGACACAAGAAGATAACGAGGCAAGCCACAAAGGGAAAAAATTAAACGAGGCAAAATAAAACCTATTAAAAAATAAATAAATAAATGCAAGTTCTGATTACAATCAGCTTGTGGATGCTTGGTTATGGATGTTTGGTCAGAAGGACCCCTTGGCGTCACATTTTAAGGCACTGGGTACCCTTTCAGCATTATTTTTTTAGGGAATCCTATTGATTTCACTGAGAAACTTTGGCGTCAGCAAAAAGCCAAGGATATATGAAATTAATGATATTGTCATTATGTTGGGGTATGGTTTTCAATTGAAACTGCCAGCATAACTGAATTTACTTTACACTATTTAGACATTTGTGAGCACTTGTTTTCACAAGCACTGTTAAGTTTATTTAGGTAATTTGTATAATGGTCTCTCTGAGGGCTAAACCCCCGTAACCGCCCCTGAATGGGACACACAAGTCCGCAAGACCTCAAATGCACACAACGTGCCAAATGGGACAAGGTCAATTTGGCTTCATTTTTTTCTAAATTTTCTCTTATTAATGATTGTCTTTCTTTATCACTCTAGCACACGGCCCACAAACTCAGCTCTGATCGTGCTGATCTCTGCTGCTGCTGGACCTTTGTTGCTTGTGGCATATATAAATGTGTGTGGAAATTATGTGTCTAAATTTCTTGTGAAGACTGAGAGAGTTGTGCCGTTTTAACATGCCTGACATGATTATTCAGACAGTTCAAACAGTTGGCACTTCACTCAAAATACTGTTAAAATAAATGTGCCTAGACCTGCTGCTAAAGCTTGTTTTCCATAAGACTACAAGCTGAAGACATTCAAATTTAAATTTAAGACATGCAAATTTAAACGTGGGAAAAAATTCTCCAGTCAGCATTCAAAAATTTGCCTTTAAAATTCAAAATAATTTTTACCTCATCCCCATAAATGTATTTTTTGTTGTTGTTTCACATTGGTGATAATTAATGGTGAATAATTAACTTTTTGATTAATTTTAATTTGTTAATTGTATTTATTACAGCTTGCCATCAAAAACTATGCATGAAGAGAGTTAGAGGCTCTTAGAGCACTTAGCACTTAGAGGCTTTTGCATCTGAACTCTTCACACACACACACACACACACACACACACTCTCACACACACACACACACACACACACACATATATATATATATATCAGTCAAAGCTGAGTTTCTACTACCTGCTAAAGTTTTAATTTGTTGAATGATTAAATCTCTCATTGATGAATCAGCTGCTGATGAAGGACGAACCATTTGGCAAATGCTTTTTTAAATGCTATTTAAAATGATGTATTATTTTACTGTTTTATTGTTTGTTTATAGGCGAATGAAGTTAAATGAAGCTTTAAACTTATCCGTTTAATTAATTATTCAATTAATCAAATTAATTGTATTTAAATTGATTTTGAAACACAAACAAGTTTAAAATGATTAATTTAGTTAAAAATAGATATATTTGTTTATTTATTGCAAAAGTGACATTGAAATATGGTTATGAAATGGTCTGTTATATGCAATAAACTGAATAAGCCTCGGTGTGCAGCCATTTGAAAATAAATTACGTACTAAAAGAAAGTGTGACACTTTCTTTTAACATTTACGTCTGTTGTGTGCATGTGTGTCAATTACACTAACTTTTTATTGGAGTTTTGATCCTCTCATTTTTTATCGCTCATTTAAAAGTTAATAATCGACATAGGCTACTTTATATTTCACAATTATATATTTGTATATATTTTTAACTAATTAGCTTACCCTTTTCTTTGACGTAACAACCAGTCAGCAAATACACTAAATGAAGTCCCACAGTAAGCTGTAGGTTATGATTCACTAGACAGAACCAACTCGTAAAGTCATTCGTTCGGAAGTCAGACTACACTGGTTAACCTGTAAGTTTTCGATTCACCAAAACGAACCGACTCACTAAAATCATTCGTTCGAGAATCGGACTACACTGGTGACTCAGTTTCACGCATTATATAGTTCAGTAGCGGTCAAACGTAACTCTGACCAGTGTTGGGAAAAGTTACTTTTAAAATTAATGCATTACAATTTTTCGTTACTCCATAAAAAAGTAACTAATTACGGTACTTAGTTACTTTTTATGGAAAGTAATGCGTTACGTTACTTTTGAGTTACTTTTAAAATCTGGACAGGGCTTGCTTGTTTGTTTTTAAAATAAAAAAAGTTATATTTTTGGCAAATATAAAAGCCTTTTCACACCAAAAGTGAAATGAATAAGCCTCAGGCTGAAGGGAAAGTATATTATGTCCGTACAGTAGAATGCAGAAGAAGAAATTTCAACACACTTCAGCAATAAAAAAAGACACAAATGTTTGTCTAGAGTAATTTTTGCTTATTAGTATGGTTGAACTGGATCATCGAAGGTCAGAAGCAAAGACATAGGTTAATAGAATGGGAATAAATACATAAAGGATATTTGTGTTGTTTAACATTTAATTATTGCAGGTTTGCGTCATATTCTGAGTTGCATTATTTTTATTCATTTTGAGGAATACTGAATCTGTGTTTTTTTTTTTTTGAGAGTGAGAAATTAATGCATATTCATATTTATTTTAGAACTACTGTAACATCTTCTGATTTCTCTCAACATGGGGACAGGAGAGCTGTCAATCAATAAATTGGAAAAAAAGTAACTTGCGTTACTTATTTGAAAAAGTAACTCAGATATTCTCTTGTAAATTAAAAAGTAATGCGTTACTTTACTAGTTACTTGAAAAAAGTAATCTGATTACGTAACTCGCGTTACTTGTAATGCGTTACCCCCAACACTGACTCTGACGGTCAAAAATTGCGAGATAAGATGTAAGTAGTAAACATTTAATATTTGACAAGCGTTTACGTTAGACATTTAAAACGACTGGTTTGTCACATTTCACTGTTTTTAATTAAAATAAATATAGGCTATCATTTGATACATCCGATATGTTTTAGGGACTTGTTCTGAATACTAGGCTACGTTTCATTGCAGCTGTATAGTATTAGTATATTAATAACGCACAAATGGTGTGGCCTGGGAGTCGGTCATTTCGAAATTTAGTTCATTGAATCACCAGTAGGCCTAGCTCCCAAAAACGTCTGGGCATCGGTACAGAACAAAAACACGGCAAAACAGTCACTTGTTGCCATCTCCTGGAGTAATTATGTAACGTGCAGAAACGGACGCTGAACAAAATAATTAGTGTTTTGCAATCGCTAAAACACATTTGTCAAAACTTGGGTCACTTTTTCAAAACTTTTCACACAATGAGCACAACAACAGTTTATGTGGGCTAAACCATGGATCATTTAATTACTTTCGCACAAAATTACTTGAATTCATTGACTACTTCTTTCAAATTACATAAATTATTTTCTCACTCAGACATAAACAACGGCAAAACTCTATACCTACATGCCAATTTGCACACGCTAACATATTCTTTTCAAAACAGTTAAACCTAAGTTCAAAACCTAACATAATACAAAATGAACAAGACAGCAATTTGCTACAATTCTACAGTAGGCCTAATACCTTATTGAAATATATTCTGAATCAAAAAATGAAATCTTTGAAAAACCGAGTTGAACAACTAGAGTTGCAGTAGTATTTCAACTGCATTACAGTTTTTCTCATTTGCTAAGACACGGTTAATGAACCTGGGATCCACTTGATCTTCATCATCACTTTTTCAGCACAGCAGAAGTCTTCTCTTGCAAATGTCTACACACTTTTTCACACATTTTTGGGAGGAAATTTGATCTCACTGTGAAAAATGTTGTGCTGTCACATGTTGCAGCTGGTTAGGATTAGATTTATATAGGATCTATATATATAGAATGGTTAGATTTACATAGAAGAGAGCTTTTTTATTGCTTGACATTATTGTGTCACATTTGGCGAGGACGTAGCATTGCACTTTAAAGTGCTGGATCTGAAAATGAACTTCTTTGTGTTCAGACATGTGTGGCGGTGTAAAGAAGATGATTGAGTAAAACTCTTCCCACACGGAGGGCAGTGATATGGTTTTTCTCCAGTGTGGATCCTCTCATGTGTTCTCAGATATTCTGACCGACTGAATCTCTTGTCACAATTAGATAACGACCTAACACTCGTAAGGTTTTTCTCCAGTGTGCATTCTCTGGTGCAGTTTTAGTTCAGCATTTGTAACAAAAGTCTTCCCACAATCAAAGCACATATGTTCCTTCACACCGCTGTGACTTTTCTGGTGTCTTTTTAAAGCACCTTGCTGACTAAAACTCTTTCCACACGAAGAGCACGTGAGGCTTCTCCTGTGTATGAACTTTCAGGTGGTTCTTCAGGGATTCTGGCCAAAAAAAGTTTTTACCACACTGATCACAGTTGAATGGTCTTTCTCCAGAATGAGAACGCAGATGTAATTTTAAAAAGCCAATCTGTCTGTAACTCTTCCCACACTGACCACATGTGTACGGCTTCTCTCCGGTGTGGATCTTCATGTGTATGTTAAGGTTTGATTTTAGTGTGAAACTCTTCCCACATTGATCACATGTGTGCGGTTTCTCTCCAGTGTGGCTTTTCTTGTGAACCTTAAGATCTCCTTGTAGTGTAAAACTCTTTCTGCACTGGTCACATGTGTGCGGCTTCTCTCCAGTGTGGATCTTCTCGTGTGTTTTCAGACAATCTGACCGACTGAATCTCTTGTCACAGTGTGAACACTTGTAAGGTTTTTCTCCATTGTGAACTATCAGGTGCTTTTTCAGTTCAGTATCTGTAAAGAAGGTCTTCCCGCAATCAAGGCATGCATGATTCTTCACACCGCTGTGTCTTTTCTGGTGTAATTTTAAAGTACCCATCCGTGAAAAACTCTTTCCACACAATGAACACATGTGAGGCTTCTCCTTTGTATGAACATTCAAGTGGATCTTCAAATGTGCTGCATTAAAAAACGTTTTGCCACACTGATCACAGTTAAATGGTTTTTCTCCAGAGTGAGAACGCAGATGGCTTTTAAAAGTGCTTTCATATGCAAAACTCGTCCCGCACTGATCACACGTGTATGGTTTCTCTCCAGTGTGGATTATCATGTGTCTCTTAAGGTGTCCCTTTTGTGTAAAACTCTTCCCGCATTGATCACATGTGTACGGCTTCTCTTCACTATGATCTCTCATGTGAACTTTAAGACTTTGCTTGTATGGGAAACTCTTACCACACTCAGGGCAAGTGAATTTTTTGGGGGGGGATTTCTTTTCAGTATACATTTACGTTGAGCCTGAGAGCGACTCAAAGATTTTACTCCAGTTTTGACCTGTTTTTCTTCTGCTTCACTCAGTTCTTCACTCTCCTCCTCCTCTTCCATCAGGTCTAAAATGAAAGCAAAAAAGGTGAAGTTTTCAGTAAATCATTTAAAAACTTCAAAGCCAGAAATGTGAAGGGAAAGGACATAAAAATTAATAGCAGAAAGAATACCGTTGCTACACTAAAATATGATCTTTATGATGATTTTTTATAAATAAGTGATATGTTCATGAATCGTGTACATCAATCTTCCAATTATTATTTTCTGTAGTAGTGAGAGCTAGGGATGCACTGAAATGAAAATTATTGGCCGAAGCCGAAACCGAACAAAATGAAACACTGGGCCGAAAGCCGAAGGCTGAATAAATTAATTTTATTTTTAAATGTATAAATTGCATAAATAACATTTTTACTATTTTGTCTTGCTTTTCAAAGAAAAAAATCAATTACAAAACAGTCATTTAAAAATATTTAACACTGAACATGTTTTAACATTCTAGCAGACATTATTCCAACAAAGCACAATTTAACTTAAAATTAATAAGTTAGTAAAATAATAGCTTTTGGCCATCAGACCCCCTTCCTGAATAAGGCATGTATTTTTGAAATGAAAGCAGCCTTGCTGAGCAGAAGAAACTTCTTTTAAAACATTAGAAAATATTACAGATGCCAATTTGAACACTACGTGTGAATGTTAATGTATTAATAGAGCTGTTGTAATTATTATTATCATTATTACGGTCTTACTTTTTTATTTTATTTTACAGAACAACAGTTAAATTACAATACTAACATTTATGAAGGTTGATGGAGTTCTTGCTTTTTCTCAACTTTTATTTTGGCGGAAACGCGCAGGAAGACCTCAATGCTTCTTTTTTGTTGACAACAACAGCAGATTTATAAATGAGTCTCATTAGGAATGTGTTGCACGTATTACATTGTCACATGCCTTGTAAAAATTCATAAAAATGTGTGAGCAACTGACAGGTAACACTGTTTCAGCGCAGATATTCCTCGAACTTTGGACGTTGAATCCTGGTTAACAAGCAGTTAGCGCCGCGAGTTTGTGCAGCGCTGTCAGAATACATGCAATTCGAGAGTGAAAACAACGTTCTGCAGATTATTTACTACCATATTGGCCCGAATATAAGATGACCCCCCTTTTTCCAGATGTACCTTTTGGAAAAAGGCTTTTTAAAAACTAAATCTTGTTTTTTCTCAGTAAAACACATTTTGTCTGCAATTATTTTCATATTGCATATTTTTCCTATTTTAATTTTTGTTTTGAAAGTATGGTAAAAACTGGTAAAATGTACCAACAATCACATTTAAAAAATATACACTTTTTGATATACCATAAAAAAAAAAAAAACAGGTAGCACATCTGAATTAGGACATTTAGGCTATCCATCTAATAGTAGCCTACCAAAATCTTATGAACAGTAGAAGTTAAATCTTACTGTAGTCTTCAAATCTGGGTACTGTCTTACGTTTTAAAATCACAAAGGGAGTTTGGTGTCATCAGACTAACGTGACAGTCACGACTCATGCTGTAAGGTTTTCTTTTTCTTTTGTTTTTACTCGCGATCTTTACAACACTCATTACATTACGTATTTCATGGCACACTCGTTTTATGTGTATTTGGCGCCACCTATTGTTGTGGGTGTATTATTGACATGTCAAAGTCTAGACCCTGAATATAAGACGACCGCGTTTTTTCAGATGTATTTCCAAGAAAAAAACATCGTCTTATAGTCGGGTCAATACGGGTAATTGTTTAAGGCCATTTCGCGATTTCAATCATCATACATTAACCAGTAACAATCACCCCTTCCTCTTCTAATCGAAGACATGCGATGCAGTAGCCTACTAAACAGTCTCTCGCTGTCTGTGCTTGTAATGATTTTTGCGTCTTTCTAGGACATTTTTAAATGCTTCCACACTGCTATGCTGACATGTTTGTTGCATTATAAAGAGTGCACGCCTCTCACGCTGCGCTGGTTGCTATTTGATCGCGTCACGTCATTGCTCGGTACAATTTATTCGGTCTTTTCGCTTATTCGGTTGCCGAACATTCGGTGCATCCCTAGTATGAATGCAGTGAAGATCTGCATATTAAAAATAGGAAAACGGCAAATAACTCTACAACAAAACAAGTGAGAGCTATTGAATATGTTTGATAAACTACACAATTATCTAATAATAACCAAAAAAACTATACAATGGTGGCATAACTTTATTTATCTAAAAAAAAATTAGATAAATATTACTTAATTTATTAGCAATAGCATTGCTCATTCAACCCTGTTGTGACACACTTTTGCTTATTTAAAAAAAATAGAGCTTTTTTTTTAATTTTCACAATTGTCACAACCTCTCATATCAGGAAGTGACATCATTTGGAGCCTTTCCACAGAAAGATAAGAAACTAATCTTGATCCATCTTTAGCTCTGACTGCACCACCAACACAAAGATAAACAAAATAACTTCTATAACTACAAACAACTTCTTACAATTGATAAGAATTGCAAGTTTAACTATAAAATAGCTTTTGCTTAACTTGCTAAATGTGGTTTATTTATTTGATACATTTAGTTTAATTTCAATGTCAGGGTGGAAAATGTATTTACACATGTTCAAAATGTTAATAACACTGTTGCGAAATGTCTGATTGAGATATAAAATAAATAAATGAATAAACGGTTTGTATAATATTAAAATCTCCTTTCACTTATTATTTGTTGAAAACACAAAAGTTATACATTTCAGTTTGATACTGATTTCATAATCATTTCATGGAAAGTGGTCAGTATATTATTTGCTACTGCTGTTGTTTTACAGCTCGTAGGACAAAATACAACCACTAAATCTGATAAGATTCTTTAAGTTTGATTACCTTAATGTTCTTCAGCATTATAAATGAATAATAAAGAATAAACACCAACCTCCATGTTCTTCAGTATCTTCAGGTTTCATTTTGTAGGGTTCTGGAGCACTCCTGTCACTGAAAACTCTTCTTCACTGATGGGAATATTCCAACTTTTATTGGTGAATTTCTGTGGGAGGAGCTTCACTGAAGGTAAAGTACTTGTGGAAGGAGGAGCAGATCTGCAGAAATAAAAAAATAAATCCGAAATAAAACAGATGTTTTGACTCCTTCACACATTTTAAGCATTTATGTACTATGTGTATATATCTATTTATCAAAATGTAAAGTCACTGAATTTATTATTTTTTTTATATTCTGTGTATTTCTGTTTTATCTTTAATATAGACATATAGACAAATTAATATTAGAAAAAATTATGAATAAGTACCACAATTAAAATAATCCAAATTAAAAAAGAAAAAAGCAAGAATAACAAAAGAAAAAAGAAAAATGTCAGAAATAAATGTAGATTTGTAACCAACATAACACTTCAGTTCAATAAAACATCACTTACCTAGTCATTTAGCTGAGCTATTGCTCATTGGTTTTAACTTTTTGTTGTTTTTAAATGAAACCTGCTTTATCACAAACTATAATGAAATGCTCTTAAGAGATTTATGGTGATGGTGTGGCTGTTTACACCAATGAATGAGCTTTAAGTAGCAGTTTACAGGTGATTTAAACATATCAGCATAACCGATGAGGTGAAAACATGAACTATTGACATGATAAAAAGGCCTTTCAATAACTAGTGAGACACCTGAAACAAACCGCACAGGATCATCAGCAGAGATCTGACTTTATTCTAAGTGTTTGTTGTAGAAACAGATTATTCGAGTCATATATGCTGAAAGACTATAAAACTTGTCTATAACAATGTTATTTCTCACAGTCTGAGATAAATAAAACATCATCAAAAGAAATGCTTGTGGCACCCATCCTTGCAGGAGTTTTTTCTGCTTTCTGTTTGGGAGACCGTTTTATTAACCGCTACAAATGTGCAGCAGCATAATATATCCACCGAAATTTTCCAATGACTACATCCATAACAATAAAGGAATTAGATCATTAACTTGTTGCTATCTTTTATGTGCAGAAACCGACCATGATCACGTTATTTTAATACTTTTGATTTCAAAATTAACTTTTATCTAAATTCACATTAATGTACAGTACCTCTGTAGTCAATGTCACATCAATGTACAGTAGGCCTACCTCTTGTGCAGTACTTCTTGTGACGGGAAAGTGGCTCATCATATTGTAACGAGTAGAATGGATGTGGCCCTTTTTTCCCCTTCGGGAAGGTATGTTCAGTTGTTGTACAAAACGTAAAAGTGTCGTGGACTTGTTTACTAAAGATTCGCAAAGTTTTCGGAGCTTCACAAAGCAAGTTTAGAAAGCGTCCATATTTACAAGTCAAGACACACAATTAAAGACATACAAATATCGTACTCCGCTACATTTATCAAGGTCCCCAAGTAGAAAGTCTTTATATGTAGCAGTTTTTTCCAGTGTATTTTCTTCTTCTTCTTAAGTGTTTTTGGCGGTTGGCAAACCAGCTAATAGGTGCTTTACCGCCACCTGCTGGACTGGAGTGTGGAACAAAAGTCTGGCTGAGAAAAATAACAGGAATAATAATAAAATAAAGGGGGGGTTGCCCTACTATTCTATGATCTTCATATTCGTTCTAGGATACCCGTCTCTTTCAGATATGAAATTAACTGTACATATGTTTTCCTTAGTGCTGTTCCAAGTATATTTTCCAAAGTGAATTTAAGTTTATATTTTTCAAATACTTCTTTTAATATTATTCTCTTATTTTCATATGCATGACCAGGGCCGTGCACAGACCTTTTGAGGGGCATGTGCTGAAACTGAAAAAGGGCCCCCCCCCCAATGACAAATGAAATAACACAAAATAATAGACTCAAAAGCTTTAGATTTATTCACTATTAATAACAGCCACATATATATATATATAGGGTTTCTTAGGTGTAAGAGTTTCTTTAGAAAGTTCTTTAGTCCTTTTTTTCAAATCAAATGTAAATTCCTGTCTCAGTCACATGTTCCTGGTTAAATAAACATTACTTACACTACCAGAAAACAACAAATACAATTCTATTTTATATTTTTACATTAACAATGTAATCAATATTCTGTTTATTAAAGCCAAGTATGAATATCAAAACTGCCAACATTTCGGCTGTGTATACTGATGTCCCATCCGTTAACCTTCCATATTTTGCGATTTTAAATTCTGGAACATAGAATGCAGATCCAGTACATGTGTATTTTCTTCTTCTTCTTTTCTTTTTTAATGGCGGTTGGCAAACCCACTTAAAAGGTGCATTTCCGCCACCTACTGGACTGGAGTGTGGAGCATGCCGTATATTGGTGACGACGTATAAAAAAAATAAAATAAAACCTTAGTTTGACCAAAGGAGTAGGCCTATTACACAAGGATACAATTATTTGATATACTTTATTATGTGATCTTCAAATTCTATTTATTAAACCTATTGCTTTCAAATAATTAATAATTGCATTATACACTATACTGTGCTGGAACATACTCTAGTATTGTCTTAATTATTATACTTTCAATATTCAACAAACTTAATTCTTCTATTAATCGCATTCTTTCTCTTTCATATGCTTCACAATGTAATAGGATATGTTCCACAGTCTCTGGTATACCACATTTATTGCAATTACCTGATTCATGTTTACCAATAATAAATAATGATTGATTAAGAGCTGTGTGACCAATACGGAGTCTAGATATTATTGTGTCCTCCTTCCTACTTCCAAAGTTTTTCCTTCCATTTCCAACTTGTTTTTGAATGTTGTATAGATGCAGACCCTTTACATCGTAGTGTGGAGCATGACGTATATTGATGACAACATAAAAAAAAATACCCTTAGTTTGACCAAAGGAGTATTACACAAGGATACAATTATTTTATATACTTCATTATGTGATCTTCAAATTCTATTTATTAAACCTATTGCTTTCAAATAATTAATAATTGCATTATAGACGTTATACTGTGCTGGAGCATACTCTAGTATTGCCTTAATTGTTATACTTTCAATATTCAACAAACTTAATTACTCTATTAATCGCATTCTTTCTATTTCATATGCTTCACAAAGGCGCAAACTGCTCACTTCAAAAACTCAACACTGAAGCGCGCGACTGACGACGTCATCACAGTGAGGCGAAACCAACCATAGATGATCAGAAACGCCAAATTCTGTTTAAAACTACAAAACTCTGTAACAAAAATATATATAACATCTCGTAAGAAAATGCAATTTAAGAACCACGCCTTCTTTCTTTGCGTGCACATTTGGGCAACATTATGCAAATATTTCCACATAGTGAGGTAGATATGTGGGGGCGTGTTAGAACGAGCCGTTTTAGGGGGGCGTGGCAGAGTCTTAACTTTGATAAAGAATATCTCTTTGGTTTTGATGTTGTTTACAGTCGGTCTAAATATTCTAGTCTTAGAATTTAAAAACCAGCTGTAGCCAGTCGTCCTCACAAAGATTTTATTCAACATGTTTAATATTTGCGACTGGCGGCGCCGGCGATGTCTATGCTCTGGAGATGCATTCCCTAGGCTGTCAAACATCATTCATCCTTATTTTTCTGATTTTGTCAAACACATCTTTTTTAGTGTTTCTTTTGTAATAGGCTACAAGTTAACACTGCAAGTTAAGTGTTTTTAGGCTATTCGTTTTGTTCTGCAGACGGAAAAAGGTAAAAACTGCATTCTGTAAAAATCCAGAATAAGCTGTGATTTCTCTCTTTTTTTGTATAACATTAAGCATCCTTTTATTTCAACCTGGAGTCTATTAAACAGGAAGAATAAAATGGTAGCTTATATAAACTGCACTTATTTATGAATATATAGGCTTCCAATTTTTATTGCCTGATTTGACAATAAGAGTCTACATTATTGCTTGATTTTAGTATAAAAAAAAAACAGCACTAGAAATGTTGCAATTAACTAAATGAATCAGGAAATGCTTAATGACACATTCTCACAGAACGTTTGGTTTGAAAAACGCGAGACGCGAGGAGTGGAACGGGAGTAAGGTCTAGAGCAGGGCTGTCCAAACTCGGTCCTGGAGGGCCGGTGTCCTGCAGAGTTTAGCTCTCTAGCGTCATGCGCGAGACGCTGAAGACTGCGAGACGCGAGCGCAAGGGGTATACACGTCTGTCTAGCGCTTGTTTACATAGAAAAACAATGTGAAAGTAGTGCATTGGAATGGAAAAACGCGTTCTATGGCCCCCTAGTGAGTTTAGCCAAAATTTAAAATCTTTACAATGCTAAAACAGCCTCAATTGCTCTCTCTATGCCCCCGTATTCACATATCTTTATCTTTCATTTTTAATTTTACTATTTGTGTACTGTTGTTGTCTCAGAATCTGCACTATAAGCTTTTTCTGTCACCAAAACAAATCCCTTGTGTGTGCAATGGCAATAAATCTATTTCTGATTCTGACAAATAGTACTTTTTCCATACCCTTTACACAAAGAAAGAAGCTCAAAGAGTGGTTCAAATAAATGTAATTTGAAAACAGGATGGGACAGACAATGGTTCTACAGAGGGCCGTCACTAGCGGGGCAAAAGGTGGTGACATTTCTAGGGGCCCCAGGCTTGAAGGGTCCCTCCTTCCGGAACGCGTTTTCAAGGAGGCCCACAGCAACAACCTGCATTGGGCCCCGGATACCCCAGCTACAGCCCTGGTTCTATAAAAGATTTGGAGGCCTTCATATTTACAGGGCCCAATAGTAACAGGAGTGCCAGAGAGCCCTCATAGACCAAGAGCCTTGTTCAAAAGGCATTGTATAGGCTAAGGGACACATATATTCAATCATAAATAAACATTTGTTTTCATTGTTGATGGGTTTTTCGTACGAAACTGGATCGCGCAACCTTAAAGCCTAGGGCCCCCCTGGCTCCTGGTAATCAAGGGCCCCTGGGCACTGGCCCCATTGGCCCGGTCAGTAATCCATCCCTGATGCAGAATCTATCGATAAACACACCTCGTCCTCTGTTTCTCACTCTACGCTGCCGCAGTCTGCCGATTGAAGAACACGCTGAAAGACGGGGAGGAGCCGAAGTCGGCGCTGTTTTCATATGAAATTTAAAGGGGACTAAAGCGATCACGAATTTGTGTACAGTTTATGGTAAAGCCCCCCTAAAAATGGCCTAGCGACGCCCATGACTAGAATTATGAAATTATTCATTCATGACGCAAGAAAAACCAGCAGACAACAAAAGTGGACAATAAAAGTTTGATACTTGAAGCAAACATAAAGTAAAAGACAGATCTCTCTCTTTATTGACTAACACGATAAAGCATCTCTGCATTATAAACCTACATGACAGAATATCTTACACCTGCATTTTGTAAAACACACCCTAAGTAGAAGAATAATTAGTTGTTTTAAAAACAGTAAAAATAAATTAGCCTCTTTTCCAGCTTCGTGAACAAGAACATTTTGAACCTTTAAAAACCTTCTACAAATATGCATTAGAAGAACATTTTGAACATAAAAAGAAACTCATAATAAAGCATAATAATATAATTTATATAATAAAGCAAAGTTGTATACAAGAATAAAACTTTAGATATTGTTCTTTGGGGAGGAACTCCATCTTTGAGTTGATCTGAATCTCACAGATGAATCTGCATGTCTTGAAGATGAACTTTATTCACTGTGACAAATTTAGATGATGTTTCTTATGACAGATTAATGAAGCGCTGGACCTGAAGATAAACTACTTAATATGGTTGTTTATTTTATGTCTCCGTAGAGAAGACAAATGACTGAAACTCTTCCCAAATACAGTGCAGTGATACGGTTTCTCTCCAGTGTGAATCCTCTCATGATTTTTTAGGTCTCCTGACTGACTGAATCTCTAGTCACAGTGTGAACACTCGTAAGGTTTCTCTCCAGTGTAAATCCTCTCATGTGATTTCAGATGTTCTAACTGACTGAATCTCTTGTCACAGTGTGAACACTTGTAAGGTTTCTCTCCAGTGTGGATCCTCTCATGCCGTTTCAGATCTGTAGATGTAATAAAAGTCTTCTCACACTCAAAGCACATATGATCTCTCATCACCAGTGTGTATCTTCTGATGTAGTTTTAAATTCTCCAGTAGTGAAAAACTCTTTCCACAGAAAGAACATGAATATTGTTTCTCCTTTGAATGAACTTTCAGGTGATTCTTCAGGCTTGAAGCCCATGAAAATGTTTTTCCACATTGATCACATTCATGCAGTTTCTCTCCAGTGTGGATCTTCATGTGAACCTTAAGGGTTGATGATTGTGTGAAACTCTTCTCACACTGATCACATGTGAACGGTTTCTCTCCAGTGTGGATCCTCATGTGAACATTGAGACTCTGTTTGTATGTGAAACTCTTTCCACACTGAGTGCAGGTGAAACTTTTCTTGCCTCTTCTTTTCAGTAAAGAAATACTTTGTCTGTGAGCGAGTT